ACGAACACTTGTAATAAATGCCTCATACATATTCATGGTGATACTGATATATTACGTGATATGCTTTTTCTAGTTAAGACCCACCAAAGGACTTCTTGAACTACCTTATCATATGCATTCTCTAATCCAATGAACACCAAATATAGATTCTTTTTAATGTCTCCATACTTCTCTACAATATGTCTATGAAGGTGAATGTCCTCAGTTGTTGAGCATCGACGTATAAAACCAAATTAATTCTTGGAATTTTCAAACTTTCATGGTGTGACTCAAAAGCTTAATCTCTTGATAGTTGACACATTTTAGTACATCACCCTTATCGTTGTTTCTCCAAATCATGTTGAAGAAACGTGTTAGCCACTCGATGACTTTCTCTCACAAACTTTTCCAGGCCACAATTGGTATGTCATATGGGCCCACTATTTTTTTCTGTCTGATCTTTCTCATATCCTCTTTAACTTTTGTCATTTGGATCTTTCTTACAAAGTCCCAATTTACCATACATTCAGGTATAGTTAGATCACCAGTACCTTGCACTTTATTCCCGTTGAACAAGATATCAAAGTATGACATCTACCTTTTTTTCGGAAATAATCACACGTGGTGGAGGGAGTGCCGGGGAACACTACCCAAATTTATTAATAATAAGTAGATTACAAGAGAGTTTAAGAAACGGTACTGATAAGAAAAATCATACAGTCAAAAGCTGAAAGAAGAAACAGGGGTTTAACAGTTGATGTTTTGTGAAGGTATCTCGACTGTAGCCGAAATAGATCTGTTATATCTGTTATGGAACTGAATAGCCTTTCGGAGATAGGGTTGGTAGGTTTTTGCTTCCAGTTTAGAAGACCTGTATCGCGTGAGTGCCGTGGCAAGTTTGTGTGGAGAGTCCAGCCTCGCCTCAACAGGGTAAATGTAATAGTCATCTTCATCTTGCGGGCATCTGGATTGACTTCTTGTGATCATCGGGTGTGATGTGTATCCCACCTCGTAGAATAGTTGTTTGGCTCCCAGAGTTCCGTTTGGGGTCATGGCACAATACCCTCTATTTTTCTCTGCCTTCTACCTCTCTTTTATTTCTTTGTCCTCCATTAGTACTCTTTGATCGACATCGTTCACATTCGTAACTTTCCCGATATCTTGAGTTCTGTGAGCTCACAAAGGCGAGCAAGTCTGTAAATATCCTTTTCTCCTTCCTTAGAGTCTTGTTCGCTTTCCATGTTGCCTTGTTTAGGACTTTCTTTGCTTTTCTTTTAACCTCCTTGTACTCCTCTATGTTCTCATCATTTCAACATTTGCCCAACTTTTGGTATCATTTCCTTTTAGTCTTTGTTGCTTGTTTCACTTCATCATTCCATGAAGATGTATTCTTTTTTTGGTGGCATACATCTTTTAGATTCTCCAAGTATCTCCTCTGTCACTTTGTTAATGTCAACTTTGATAACCACACATCATCCACATGTGCGTCATTGTCAATACACTATACATTTTCCTCTGTTAAAGACCCCTCTCAAGCCTCCACCACTTTATATTTGGTTTCATTTGTACCTTATCCTGCCTTCTCTTTGTCGAGTGTTGGGTTATCTACTCGGTGAGTACTTGGCGAGTACTTGACGAGTACTCACTAGAGCTGGCATTTTTAACCGAAAAACCTAAAACCGAACTGAAAACAACCGAACCGAAAAACAAAAACAAAATGAATGGAAACCGAACCGACTTGAATGGGACACGAAACTCGGGACCCGAATATTAATCGGTTCAGAAACGGCTCTATGAGATTTAAAATCGGTTCAAATCGAACCGAACCAACTTTTTTTAAAATAATAATTATTTAAATATTTTAGGAAAAAAGAAGAAAAAATATTTTATTTAATTAGTAACGGTAGTGTAACATATACTATTAGTGTCCTTTGTAGACCAACAATCTCCCGTAGCTTAGTGGGTTAGATAAGGCTTTCCTTCTTATTCACCTGACTTCGAACCCCCCAGTTGCATAGTACATTAGTACTCCTACTTCAGTTTTACTTCCGTTCAAACTTCTTTGATATAGGTTTTCAATTTTTCTTAGACCCCGTTTACTTAGGACTTAACGAAGTTTAGGACTTATTCGCTCAGTTATATCATTGTGTTTACTTAGGACTTAATTTATAAAGTGACTTATTCGCGCTCAGATCATTTTTGACTTGATGGTTCAGCCTAATTTTAATACTCCTTCCGGTTCAGACATCCCTAAGAACAAGCATCTCGGTTTTAACCTTGATTCTCGTCACTCACGTATTTCATGACTTCTCCATCTATTTCATCGCTTCATCTCAAAAATCATCGCTGGACATCGCCTGTGGGAGCTACCTTCGATGGACATCGTTGGACATAACCTTCGCTGGAATTCCAAAAATCATCTCAAGACTCAAGGTTATGGACATCGCTGGACATAACCTTGAAATTCGGCCGTGGAAGCTACTTGCGACCTATTGCGAACGGTGTCTTATCCTCGATTCAGTCGTCGATAAATCACCGTATGGATCATCCTATGCCTTTTGTTCATTCTCAATGCCTAAGCGATCTCGATTTCTGATGTCATAATCTCTTATCCCTCTCTATTTTGATTTGAAATTTTTACTGTTTTCAATATCTATGAACGATTGCATGCTTCCATTTAACTGTTTCAATATCTATGAACAATAGCTATGATGACTCCCAATATTCAAGCTCAACAGACCGGAATGCAGGCTTCTGGCCTTCTGCTATATGTAGTAGAATCATGGTGTCGAGTATCCCGTTGAACTGAGTGATCTTTATAGTTTAATAAACCTACATTTTTTTTTGTGTTTTTTGAAATTTTATCTGGATCTCTTAGCTTTAAAGTTTGTTTACATGTCTTGATGTGGGATTGTTGAACATGATAAGGATGAAGCAAAATCAGCATTCCAACACTTGGATTGAGAGGTGTCAACCCTCGAAACATGCAAATAAAGTTTTGCTACTGAATCATCCTTTTGAATGTTTAAGACTTATTTGTATGGTTTTAAAGGATCAGATGATGACACAATCAATAATCTTAAGACACCTTGGCCTATGGCTGTGGGTGAAAATATTTTTGGTGTGATGAGGATGACTATGAGGTTGAACGTTGTTGTAGAAATTATGTGTTAGCTTTTGATGATTTAGAAAATAATGAACTGAAAGTTGAGACGTTGAGAATATAATGTGACTTTATATAGAAAAAGTAAACAAGAAATGTACATTCAGCACTTGTTCAAGACAGAAGAGTTATCTGGTCATTTAGCATAATTCAGACATCTCATTCAACATCTATAGTAAACACCTTGTTATCTCTGTGTCACTTAATCCAGACAGACATCTAAATCCATTCAGGACTTAATGAAAGAAAAAGTAAAAAACCCCTTACTTTATTCTCACACGGGATACCATTGGGGATTTACTCCTCAAATATCCTTAAATAATAATCGCCCCCTTGCTTTGCAGCAGAGTAGGTGGCTAGTAAAGCCTAAGGTTTAATCAAATACCAAGTATGTATTTAATTTTCAACCATGCCATATTATTAATTCGGTTTCAGAATAATTGGGTTCCGACCAAGTTTGGTTCGGTTTCAGGTAGTATAATTTAAGAAACCGAAAAATCGGTTCGGTTTGGATTCTTCCCAATTCGATTCAGGAACCGAATCGAATCCAGCCCTAGTACTCACAACTCGGGTGGTAACCTTGCCGATTAGCTACCTAACTCGGTCTGTATATTATTTCCGAGTTACTCGCCGAGTACTCAGCTAGTTTCTCAAACTTACTCAACTAGAGTGATGACTTGGGAACACGTACGAGCAGCACAAAAAGCCACTTAGGCACAAACAAATACAAGGAGTCAAAACAGGAGGGGGAATGTGAATGCATCGCAATCTGCATACATGCTGCTTGATATTAATTTAGATGACCAGAAGTGGAAGAGGAAGAACAAGTGGGGAATGTGACTACTAAAGATCTACTTGGGGACATGGGGGATGAAGAAGAGAATCACAACCTTGAACCTAATGAAGATTAATATTGGACTAAATTATTAGACAATTGATTTTCTTGAAAACTTAGAATATTTGTAACTTTTGTCACTTCATCATTAAGATTTTTATCATTTTATTCATTTCTATGCATTTGAAGATAATTATAAGACTATTATAGTTCTATAATCTTGGGCACCTATCTTCTAAAATTTAATTAATACAGGGTCCAGTAATCACCGAGTAATCAATCCTACACTCCTACTCGCTACTCGACCCTTGAACGAGTTGCTACCGAGTAACGAGTTAACTACCTAGGTCGAGTGACAACATTCTCACCTTGGATAACCTTACAATTAGTATAATTAGTTCTCCAAGTAATCCGTACTAAAAAGTAGTCAATTTGAGTGCTATTAGCTCAACTTCTATGAGTCATAAGGTGAGTCTCGTTTTTTAACCAAGTTTCTATGCATTTTAAGATAATTATAAGACTATTACAGTTCTATAATCTTGGGCACCTATCTTCTAAAATTTAATTGATACATTGTCCAATAATCACTGTTTAATCGGTCTTACTTGCTAATCGGCCCTTGAACGAGTTGCTACTAAGTAGCGAGTTAACTACCTAGATCGAGTGACAACATTCTCACCTTAGATAACCTATAATTAGTTCTCCAAGTAATCTGTACTAAAAAGTACTTAATTTGAGTGCTATTAGCTCAACTTCTATGAGTCATAAGGTGAGTCTCATTTTTTGAACCAAGTTTATTAAGGCAAAATTCAGAATGATCTTCCACGCTTCATTTCTCACAAGTTGAGTCTCTTTTCTTGGACAGTCAAATCATATGTCGAGGTAACATACAAAATGTTCTTACCCGCGTAATTAATAGAATTCAATTAAAATTTTAATTTTTTAGCACGTTCAGTAAGATCCAAATTTTCAATAACTAAATATCTCATAATAACAGCAAAAAGATCTCATAATTCGGTAATAAACATCACAAATCTCAATATGCATATTATTATTTTTTCAGGAATCTTTTAAAAATAAATTGAAGACTTAGCTAGATTCAACTCCGTATTTTTAAATATTAAGCTTGTTGAACCTCGATTAGGCTCAGAAAAAGGTTCAGTTCAGCTTCCATGTTTACTTGGAATTTAGAAAACAAAACCACGTTGCTCATCCTCTATTAATTAAATTATTAATTCCCACTGCCTTTTCTGCTGAACTTCACTAATAGTCTGAGAAGTTCCAAAATGAAAAAATCTAACCAAAATAATACTTGAGAAAAACAAGTGCCATTTTTTCTGAAATAAAGAACATGCCGATTTAAAAAAAACTGCCGAACAAAGTGAAACAGTGCTCTGAGCACGGTTGAGTGGTGGACTACCAGCTCTGGCGAACAGAACTAAAGAGATCTCATTAGAAACACACTCACATTCGATTGCGTTGACTGTGGATGCCGGCATGAAACCCATCTGTGTATGCAGTGTTCTTGAACATTGTCTGCAACAGATAAACCTATTTGAGTTAAAATGTCATGCCACAGGAGAGTGAGATGAATGATGATGGCAATAGGAGCGAGGGCCCGCGGGCATCCAGCCCACAAGGTTAAATTTAGTTAAATTTTAGTTATATTTAATTTTTGGCACCATCTAATGGTTAAAACTAATATTTGATATGAATAAGTAAAGAAATTCAAATAATTTAATTCATCTTTGGCCTAAAATGAAAGAGCCTAAGATTATTCACCGTAGGCCTACTTTGTTTGATCATTTTTCTATATATATATATATATATATATATATATATATATATATATATATACATATACGAGTGGTGTAAAAAACAATGACCGGAATCGCCATCTAGCCAAACCAGTTTGATGGGCTTCCAGGTTGAATTTTTTGATGAAATTTTGGAAGCATGTTCTATTTTTAAAAACAATATCTTTTTTATTTTCCATAAAAGTTCTAACCAAGGAGAATATTTTTCCTTCAGTGTAAAACACAATAATCTTTCACGAAAATGTCATTAACCAATCAATAGGAATAACTTTCCAGGAAAATATGAGCCTATATCAATTGTTCAAGGGCATAAAATATATCTTCATGCATCAAACAGGCTGAATGAATGCTTCCTGTCATAGGTTTTGAGAACGCCAAATTCGATATATTCGGATGCATGTGACATTGTGAGCTGATAATCCAAGTTGTTACTTAAATTTATGCTGATCAGCATTGCTTTAGGATAATTAACTCATTGTACAATGCAGTCAAGAACTTAAGAGCTGCACTCTCATTAGAACTTAGACAACATTATGCCAAATATGCAGATCCTACCCACTCAGGATTTAAAAAATTGTATAGAGAAGTACTCACAGCAATGTTTTGCATTTCAGCTCTAAGGTTCCTCTTGATATTGTTTGAAACTATAGAGCCAAGTTGGTCACCATACTGGTTGATATTCTCATTGTTGACCTGTGTGTTCAAAAATTCATAATTATCACAGATAAACCCAAGAGCTAATAATTATGAGAGAAGAGTCTCTCCTTACCTCACAAAGAACTACATTCGACACCTTTCCAAGGATGTCTTCAACAAATTTGTCGGGATCAATAAAAGTAGGTGCGGAGCCCAGTGAATTACTCAAAGTATCTTTCTTTGAATTATTGGCTGTCTTGGCAGTTTTTGCTACAACAAGAGAGATAGAGTAAATGACCAAAAAAGAAGCTCATCGGGCATAAAATAAAACAATGTTACTATGCCCAGTTTTTGTTTGTATGAATTTATAGGGTGCAGGTGATGATAATGATGATGATGATCACTTGACCCTTTCCTCTTTCCACTCATTAAGCATTTTTTTTTACTCCAGGGGGGTCAGGGGAAGGGAGCCTGGGGGCCTGGAGTAATCAGGGCTGAAACTCACTCCATTGAGTTTCAAACCCTTATGTGCCTAGCGGGTTTCGAACTCAAGACCTCCGATTAGGCACGGTAATCTCACAACCAGCTGGGCTGGAATGATTGAAATGTTTGGTTGCACTCATTAAGCATTTTCCATGCAGATTTTATCTTTTCAATTTGAATAGCTCGACTTAACATGGAGTTTGTCCATGTGGTACATGCATAGCTCTTTCATTGCGTCATAGAAATACGTAGCAGTCTTTTTCAAATTTAACTTTGTGTGAACTGTGTATATGCAAATATCGCAGTATCATAGCCTTATTATCTGCAACAGAGTTGATTACTCGTAGCAATACCTACCCACAAGACATAGTAGCAATACCTACCCACAAGACATAACTCAATCACATTCAGGTTATATTAATGGTAAACAGAACCAAGAGAAATGATGAGGCAGTAAATGTGTTTCTGGTCAGAAGTAGATACTCCCTCCGTCCCTAATAACTTTACAAAGTTTGACTGACACGAGGATTAATAAAGTAAAAACTGTGTGGTTGAGGTTTGTGCAGAGGAGAGAGAATGATCCAGAACCACAAATTCTTTACTTAAAAGGGAAAGTGTCAAAGTTAATGGGACATCCAAAAAAGAAAAGTTGGCAAAGTTATAAGACACGGAGGGAGTATAATCATTGTTCAACGGCACCTTATCTGACATTCTGACAACCTCCATAGTCCATACAACAACAGTCTGACAAATGATTAGTTATAAGAAATTAACCAAATAGAAATGAACACATTTTGGAATTCCAAAAAAGAAGTACTATGTTTTTATTCCTAAAATAGGAATAATTATTGTCATGTTTGAAAAATACCACCAATTATGGCAGTATACTGCCATACTTAAAGTCCAGTTATGTCAAAACATGACAGCAAATTTTCACGATGACGATAACGTACTCCTAGAAAAGGCATATCAAGTACTCCCTCCGAACCTAAATAAACTTCACACTTTCTTTTTTGCGCAGGTCCAAAATAAACTTCACACTTCTATTTTTGGTATCTTTTTAATATAAAGTTACATTTATACACTAACTTTATTACCTACTTTACACCCACTTTCTCTCTCTCACTATGCATAATCTACTTTTTGTAAAAGTATGATGGGAAAGTTAAAAACAAAAATTCCACTTAAAAATAGTAAAGTCAAACTATGATGTTTATTTAGGACCGGAGGGAGTATATCAACCGTAAAGTGTGCCTACTAGTGTAGGGAGGACCGTAGTGTTCCTTCTACTATCAAAGAACGAGTCTGAGTCCTTTCGTATTTTCTATAGTCACATATGAACTCACGAAGTCGATTCAAGAAGATATAACAAGGTGCATGATGTTCATCGGCAATATTGTGTTGATTGATGAAACAAGATCAGTGTTAAAGCGAAATTGAAAGCAAGAGTTAAGGGTTTCATGCCGAGTCAAACCAAGGGTGCGTATATGGAGACTAGAGTGCAAGTTTAGTGGATGTAGAAGCAATGATAACAGTGGGATTACCTTAAATAAAGGTTGTTAAACTAAACATCCTAGCTCGGATCGAAAGAAAGCTGATAGATCATAACACGGGGATCATAACTAGGATAAACGCGTTGTAGTTGCTTCGCGTCTTTTGGAGTTCCGATGTTCGAGGCTCTTTTCCGTCGTTCGCAGAACAGAACCCAAACTGAGCCTCTCTCTTGCACAAATTGACACCGCACGCCGATTCAGCGTTTTACGCTCCAGCTCATCGGTCCCACAATACCGCCACAGTTTACATCATCAGCACGACCCAGATCTCCCGAACACACCTTACTCGTAAGATCGATTGATATTACTAGTTGACACGTGATATTAATAACCTTGCCTTAAATAATAATGAGATACCGGTCAATTACATGTTCCTCTACCCGCTTCATAGTTCATGGAGATGTATCCCTAGAATCAGAACAATTAAGCCTGCATTACTCTATGGCGTATAGATTCTGGCAGTGAAATAATGTTGTTTGTCGAATTCAAAATATGAGTGTGGCTGAGATACAAATGTTGCATTGGACGTGTTGACATACTTATTGAAGGTAAGATGTGAAAGTCTCAATTGGGATGGTTTAACCATGTGCGTAAAAGACTGGATGATGCACCTTTTGACCTACCTAGAACTCCCTCCTTGGCAAATTATACGAGTTATTTAAGATTACTAAGCTCAACTGAAGTTAAAGTTAATACCGTTAAAGTTATTTGATTTAGTACTATTAGTAATAACTTACATACTTAAAGCTATAATGTATGTTCTATTAACCCACAAAGACTATAAATATAATAAATATTTAATTGAGAATAAAGAAATGTGGGTTCCGTTAGCCTCATAAAGAGCTAATAGGACAAAGAAAATGAAACAGGTGGAGTAATAATTACTAAAATTAATAACAATCTAATAATTAATATCTAACTAATAAGGCTATCTCATAAAAAAGACTTATTAGACTATGGGGTCATTGATAGCATCTAATCACCCAAAATGCATGCATGCGAAAATAAAGATAAATGGGATCACAGCACCTTTAACTTCTGGTTTTATATCGGCAGCAACATGATCCTTCTTCTCAGGAACCACTGAGGTAGCTGACTTCTCGATATTATCAGGCAGTGTCGGGACATCAGATGGAACAACATAAGCAAGATCAGGAGGTTGATCCTTCCCGACTGGTGGGTTATCCTACAACAAGATACTTTTCAATAAACGCTAATTTAGTAGAAAATGCACTCGGACTTTGCCAAACCTCACCTCCAGATCAACATAGTTTGATGGCTTTCCAATTGAACTCAGAAACTTATCAAGATCTCTTGTGTTAATAGCTGTAGACAACAGTGTGAACGAATATATCATTAGAATGGTTCTTTCTCAAATAGGTGGTCTTTCTTTTGAAAGAACCGCACATCAAAAGGATACTTTAATGCTGAATTGCAGGTAATCAAGTAAATGTGTTTTCTTTCTCACATGTAATACCAAAATAAATCAGGTCAAGAATAAATAATCCGTTTTGATGTTAACTACATTTCAAGTTTTCAACCAACAAAATATTACCTCCGTCCCAATGGACTTTGCACTCCTTAAGTTAGGTGAGAAATAAGAATAGTAAAAATTGTGTGGTTCAAGTTTGTGCAGAGGAGAGAGAAATGAGTAGAACCACAAAATAGTTACTTTAATGGGAAAGTGACAAAGTTTTCTGGGACAACCAAAAAAGGAAAGATGGCAAAGTCCAGTGGGACGGAGAGAGTATTTTTTTTTAAATACAAGATTGTGGCCTTCTCAAGAAACTATAGAGCAATTTTTTTAGATTTCTGGAATCACAGAACAATTATACGTGCTTAAAAGTTAGAGCATAGAAAAATGCCTAAATTCAGCTAGAACAATTACTTATCAAAGTTCGATAAGCACATGAGGTACCATACTCTAAAGTAGTGGGCACCACTTATGTCTAGGAATACATGTCACATGTGTTATATCTAATAAACAGTCATTATATTATTGTACACTAATACATGTACTGCAAATCTGCCTTTGGAATTTCAGAGTTGTTTTTTCGTGATTATAATGTAACTCCTGCCTGAATCCATAAATAAGAATGCTTTTTTTTCTTTTCCTTTTGAGTAAACATTAACTCCGGATGAACTGAAAATTAGTTAAGAATACTCGTGCAAAAAGTAGTGGCAGCAGTTTACACTATATGCAATTCAAGAGTTCCAGTCATAACTTCCTCACAAATAGATGAAGTGTGGGGTTCTGAAACCGTCATGAATCATGATCATGGGCTATTTTAAAAAATCCATGTTAAACCTCCATAGACGTCATGGCTTATGGCAACAGTCATGGCACCAACACATCTGTCCATGGCGATGGAGATGGCACATTTATGGCGTGAGTTGCGTGACCAAATGTAATGATCCCACACCGATCAAGTATGCGCGTGATCGGCGCTTTATAAGTTAGGTGTCCCCTCCTCCTAATTGGCTAATCTTTTAGGAGTGAATTCTACACTTAGGCTAATGGCTTTGGGATGGGTCCAGTATGGGTTAGGTTCGTAACAAATGGTATCAGAGCCAACCCCATCTTCCGTGTCCCGACACTCTAAGTGGTGGCCTATGGAGTAGTGGCTTGGGCCTTGGGGGTGCCAACAGTGACCAACAAGGACGTTGGCTCTCTTAAGCGTGGAATATTGTAATGATCCCACAAGATCAAGAATAGTCGTGACCACATGATCCTCTCATCCTAATTGGCTAGTCTTTTGGGAGTGAATTCTACACCTAGACTTTTGCTTTGGTATGGGCACAAAATCCTTCGTATTGATTTGTTTGCTACAATAGGGTTTGACACAATGTTTAAGGGAAAAGTAGTGGGGATAATGAACGGTGTAGAAAAAGTAGGAGATAGAGTGGCAAAGCATGAGAGAGAAGATAAAAAGTAGAAAAAGTAAGGGTAGTTAAGTATTTTTAAGGGAAAACTTACAAAAAAGGAAATCATCATCGTCATTACCCCAGTGCCGCAAAGGCTCCCACCTACGGTGGAGTAAGGGGGGTCGGATGTACGCAGCCTTACCCAGTACTAAAGCACAGAATGACTGTTTTCAGATGACCCATGGTGAAAATCACGTCGAAAATTGCATGGACTGATTGTTGCTTCATAACAAAGAAGCGAGATAGTTTAGTGAGACATTTTGCTTTATACACAATGGTTTAGCAAAAAAGAAAAATGGCATGGACTAATTTTTTATTTATACCAATAAAAGAAAGTGTAGCAAAAATTAAAATACATTCCAAAAAGGAAAGTGTTGAAAACATTTCAATACGGAGAGAGTACAATGAACTACAAACACTATAAATCCATAACTCAACCACCAAAAATGAACAAGAGACTTGAATAACCACATTTTAACCAAAATATGTAAAGTTAAAATCACTTAAAGTAATTTGGTAGTTCCAAAAATAATTTAATATAAAAAAATAACCACATTATACAGTTGATATTTTATATAGAAGTGAGTTAGTTAGTTAGTTAGTTAGTTAGTTAGTTAGTTAGTTAGTTAGTTAGTTAGTTAGTATACTTGAAGGGCAAGCAAATACAATGTGTTTTGAAGTTAAAACACATTGTGTTTTGAGTTTGTACTTTATACAGAAGTCAAAATTAAAAAAAATAAGTTTATCTTTTGTATAGTTTCATACTTGTGCATCTTGTCTGGCTCTAGCTTTACGTTAAGCTGGTCTCTATTTACTTGGGTTGTTAGGGTATTGTATTTATATTATGGACTGGCTGACTCGTTAATTAGTGATCAGGGTCAAAGCCCACAAATAATGAAATGAACATGTTAAAATTTGCTCCCAAAAAATGGCGCACAGGCGTGGCGATGGAGATGGCACCACCACATGTACAATCATTGCCAAGACTCTTTTGTGGTAAGGGCTCTTCATGTCACCATATGGCGCATTATGGCATGCGCCATTGACAGCTATGAAAACCTCACAATTAGAAATGCTCCAAAAATCCAAATCAGTTGAAAAGAAGGTCCTAATTATTATACCTGCATCAGCTTTTTAATATATGCATGATGGCATTGTTAGTAGAAAAAAATCAGCACACACTGTAGAGTTTAAACTGATTTTTAACTATTTTTTTTATTTTTGGGTGAAGGGTTAGACTTTATATGAGAATATGTGCTTTGAATGGGCACAATTGAGAGCATTGATCCATACAGCCAACTCCAAATAGTAGGATAAAGGCTTAGTCTGTCGTTATTGGTGTAATTTCTAAATGGGAGAACTGAACCCAAGAGCTCCTAGTTACATCCCCAACTGGCCTTATCATCCGGCCAAACCCATTTTCCAGAAGTAATCCATTGATGCAACAACAGCCAACCCTTTAGTCCAAAATAAATGAGGTTGGCTACGTGAAAGAATGAAAACCTCCAGAAGTCATCCACCAAAGTCCTCATTCTGCACATTTTTCTGTCATGTACCATATTTTCATCAAGACTGGGTGCTCTAAAGTCCACTTTATGCATTGATGAGGTTAGCTGTAAGCTTAAACATCACATAATTTAGTTTCTGAACTACAAGCAATGTTTGTAATTGCGCAATGCCTTTACAGGTTATGCCTTGATGCCCGCCTCGACGATTTTTTTGGGGCAAGTATGCTCTAAGTCGACTCCCTTAGAGTTTGCAATATAAGATCCCTACAAACCGCCTCAACTACGAAATACGCTATTCCGAACATTGACTGTGGGGTGATATAATGGAAACGGAATTGGAAACATGTAATTTTCTATCAGGACTATTACATGACTTGTAAGTTGTTAATCACATTAATGATTACCCCAAAGATCACAAAAAGGGGTACAATACACATTTTCAAAGAGCACTACAAAATATATTTATCAAACACCCACACACAGACAAGCTTATTATATGTAGTTTCTGAATTCTAAACATGGTCTTTACCAATGGTCACATCATTAGAAAGTGGGTGGAAGAAGCAACGCTCCTTTATTCTCATCCCTTGGTCTAATAATAAAGAGACACCCCTAAACAATGAAAACAAATCCCATTAAAATAAATTATATGATAGGGACCTTGACAGTCAATAATAATAAGAATAATAGAATAATACTCCCTCCGTCCCGCAAAGAACTTCCCGCTTTCCTTTTTTAGCAGTCCCAAAAAGAAGTTCTCATTTCCCTAAATGGGAAGTTATCTACATCAAAACAATGCCAAACAGTGCAAAACAGTGCCAAATAGTGTCGAAACAGTGTCAAAACAGTAAAATTTACCCCCTGGTAAGTTTATTTCCTTAATATGTGTGTAGGTCAAACCGGGAAGTTCTTTGCGGGACGGGGGGAGTATTAAATAGTGTGATAGTATAAATAGGGTTCTGGGCCATGTAATTTAGGAAGTGTGGGCCGGCTCTTAAGGATAATAGTAGTATAAGAGGGGAAAGGAAGGAAGGAAAAAGTAGGCTGGAATTCAATTGGAATTAGGCTTGGGAGAGAAGACTGCTCGAAGTGTCTCAACTGTATCTTTCTCTTTTCAGTTCTCAACAATTTCAATCTTAATGTTCACCAATTTACCGTCATATTTTAGGGTCTCTATCATTGGTATCAGAGCATCAACAATCGCTGCAGAGAGAAATGAATTTTTACGCATCGCCAATGGAGAAAAGCATGGACAATATTGAACGCTACCTGGGGGGATGAGAACTACCGGGCGAGTCGCTGAACGGGAAGCATGACTTGTTGCTTCAACTATGTCGCAGGCGACCTAGAGGACGATCGAGGACAGTTAGGCGTTGTTGCAAGTTGCAACTCTAGACGCAGAAGTTCATCATCGCCGCTAGTAGCTTCTCCCAGTTCGACGTCGCTAGCTCTTTCTACAAGCTCGCAATCACTATCCAAGTCACCCGGTTCGCAGCAGGAGTCTGTTAATCAGTGGCAACCTCCCTCTAAATTATGAACTGCGCAATCCTGGTACTCCTGACAGACGGAAAGGAATCTTACAGATAACACTGGTGCTACCTTGGAACTGATCAACAATGTCACAGGGGCTGAAAAAGAGGGTCAGTCTCTCCAACTTATCCTTATCTATGCTGACCAGAGGTTTGCTAGTGCACTAGAACGAAAACCAGAAGATTTTAAATCTGTGATTGATACAGATCATGAACTTGGATGGGTTGTTATAAGAAATAGTGTGCAGAACCCGTCAAAACTCAGTCAGAACTCGGTTAAACCATTAAACCGATCAACCCCGGTAACACTGGATCTGAGTTTTCGCATCCTGCCTACTGTGCCGACGAAGAAAAATATACTACGTAAAAACGAAAAAGTGGCAATAATATATAACTAAAAAGGAAGGTGCAGGGCTTATGTTTTTAGTTTTCGATGAAATACATATATTTTGAATGCCATTCTCAGATCTATAGCTACGGAGATGAGGGATGGGGTAGAGAATTTGTGAGAAAACCAGAACAGAATGGGGGTAGGATTGGAAGCAAATTGGGGGGTGAACAGAGGTTGATTAGGATTTGGGAGTTGACACATACGAGTGGGAAAGAGAAAAGGATGAATTTGGGGGAAGGGAAAGGGGCATGAAGGCCGATGGGGCTGGGGATTGGGAGTTGGGAATTTGGGATGCATGTTGAGATGTGGAAAGGACAATTAGTTTGAGATTGGGAAGGGGAAAGTTGGGAAATGAAGGGGGGTGGGCAGCACACAAGGGGATGTTGGATATTAAATGAACGGGAAACGCAAAGACCCGGGCTAAATTAAAACCACAGGTAGACCCGGCTGACCCAGTAAACCCGCAACCCGGACGCATTTATGGGTCAACTACCGGTCCATTTTTTACACTCTAGATCCCTAGGTTCTAACTGGATGTGGGACTCTCGTCTAGTCAACTATGGACATTGGGAAGTACTGAGATTTCTTCTATCAAAGGAGAGTGAGCCGCAAGAAGCTCCTCAGCTACGGGAAAGAGTATCTATTCACTTTGGGGTTCCAGCCACTGCATCTATCCTCGCTTTTGACCCTATTCAACAGCTCTTAGCTATTGGACCACAGATGGTAGGCTCAAAGTCGTTGGAGGGAACAATATTGAAGGCCTTATGGTCTGGGAGCTTGAGAACAAACACTTGTCTTCTATAATAAGAAGGGAGTCAAACATACCCACATTCTCTGTTGTCTATGGCACTCATAACATGTTTATGGGGAACAATATGGTTATGTGTCTATGGTGACATATGATGCCGGGAAAGGACAGGTTGTACAATTGCCATGTTATGTTTCTCTGAATCTTGCAGCTGATGTAGATTTAATGCCCAGCAAAGTATCTATTGTTGGTTTGCTTCTCCACCCATGTTCATTTGGAAAGAGTCCTGCTGCTTATGAAAATGGATTACTTAACCTCGGGGAGATTATAGAAGATAAAGTTTTTCTTCTTAGAGGTCAACAACATCGGCAACCAAAGGAAATGCTGTCAGAAAATATAACAGAGCAGCAGGCCCACACAGGGTTGAGGGATGCCAATCAATTTCTTGCTGATTAGAAGGATAACACTTATAGTTGTCGAGCTTCTGGTGCACTGATACTGGAAAAATATGATAAACTCTTGTGGCGCAGAGGGAATAAAGGCTATAATTGGATCTGCAGAAAAAAGGTTTAATGAGTCACAGCAAGAGAAGACTGCTGGATCCCCGGGTTGGTGGAGAGTACAAGAAGCTAAGGGTCTGTTTACTAACAAAGATATTTTCCTGTGTTCTAGAAAACTGGAAAACTGAAAAAAGGAAAATAGAAAACATAATTACCAACTAAATTTGATGGAAAACTGGAGAAAGGAAAACAGAAATATGTGTTTACCAAATCGTTTTCCAAAACAAAAAAAATGAGATGTCTCTGTTTTTCTTAATGAATTGGAGAAGTAAGTTTTACTAGTTTTCCAAATTTGAAATATGCGAACGTTGTACTGCCGCTAAAATGAATTTTCATACTTACCCCTAGCGATGGATCTGGTTCCGCTCCGGTGCCAGTTCCGCTCCGGTCTGGTCAATGACTTGGCGATCTCTATCAGGTCCGGTCAACAACTCGACGGTCCAGTCTGGTCTGGTTCAGTCAACAACCCAACGATCCCTGTGAAGTCCGGTCGAAGTGCGGGCAGTCTCGGTCTGGTCCGGTCAACGACCTGATGGTCCCGGTCTGATCCGGTCGACGACCAAGCGGTCCCTATCTCGTCCGTTCAATGACCCAACATTCTCCGTCCAGTCAACGACCCGGTGGTCCCTGTCCGGTCTGATCGACGACTCGACTGTCCTTGTTCGGCCCAACTGACGACCCGATCGTCCCTGTCTAGTCCGATCAACAACCCGGTCGTTCCGTCCCGTCCGGTCGATCACCTAGCGGACCCTCTCTGGTTTGATAAAAGACCAAGCGATACATGTCTGGTCTGGTCAATGGTCGGGCAGTTTTGATCTGATCACGTCCAATCAACAGCTCGACAGTCTCTGTCATGTCCGGTCAACGACCCGGGAGTCTCTGTCCAGTCCGATCAACAATCGAGCGGTCCCGAGCTGATCCTGTCAACGACCCGACGGTCCATGTCTGGTCTGGTAGACGACCCGGCAATTTGGTCGATGTTTTCTTAAATCATTTTTTAAAGTGAATAGTTTTAAAAGAACCATTGAGTTGCCAACCAATAGGGGAAAGGGGAAAGAATTAGCCAAACTAGTCATTGGGGATCGATCAGGGCCGACCGGTTTTGGTCCTAACTATCATATACTCGTGACCGGGTACCCTACTTGGGTTGTACTAGGTTAGTTCCGGACCGTAACCATACTTTCGGTCTTCCGGTCGGTCATAAAACCGAGTGAAAAAATTTGATGAACATATTTTCAGATGTGAAAATGGAAAACTTAGAAATGAAAACAGAAAATTGGAGATAAAAAAACTGGAAAATGAAAACAAAAAATTGGAGAACAGAAAACATAAAAGAAAATTGGAAAATATCTTTGTTCGTAAAGAGGCCCTGACCTTTTTGCTTTGGCTTCAGTGTCAGAGCAGCTACTTGAAAGTGAGGTTTCTGAATGTTTTGGAGCTACTGTAGGAAATATCAAGGACAAAATTCTTGTAGAAGACATTGCAACAGGGGTTGATGAGTATCCTTTTCTTGACGCTCGTATGTTTACATCCGTCGCCAAGTTTTCCTCTGTGATCAGCCATGGAATTAATGAGCAGATCGGGTATGTGGCTGTTAAAGCCAAGTGCATGTATGTGCCTTCTGCTGTAAAAGTTGGGGCTCATCGAACACTTTTACCGCTTTTAACTGAGACAGACTCTAGAGTCATTTGGCCACATATCAGGGACTTGATTTCATCAATAACCAACCTACTTGAACATACATCTGATGAAACTATGCATCGCGTGCTTGAGACACTACAGGCTGCTGTCAGAGCAGGTCCAGAACTATTGCCACCAGTGGAGTCCATTCTTTCTCCTAGCATTCTTAATGTATGGCTTTCAAACCCTTTAGCCAATATTGATACTCTAGAAGTTTTAGAGGTAATCAAAACAGCTCCTTCTTGCATCCAGCCTTTGGTTTCTCAAATTTTACCTTCTATTGGGCATGTGTTGATGAAACCACATCAGCAGCATGAAGGTTTAGTAGCTGGTTCACTGGATTTTCTGACAATGTTGTTGAAGGATGTGCCAACTGATGCCATCAAAGATGTTTGTGAAGTTTCTGTTGATCCTTTTATCAGGATAATCCTCCAAAGTGATGATCACAGTGAGAGGCAGGAATTACTGGGATGGAATGGAATGGAATGGAAATCCAAAGGTGAAGGAAGTGATGATGAAGGGTCAAATCATGAAGTTTAGGGTCCAGAAATCAGGGAGGTACAGGGAAGGGTGAGGCACAAGGATGAAGCTGTTGATCAGGGTTGTTACCTACCTCCCACCTTGAGGACAAGGTGGTTGTCAAAGGAGGAGTAATGATGGGGATCTGGACAATTAATAATAAGAAGAATAATAGAATAATGTTAAATAGTGTGATTTTGTATAAATGAGGGTTCTGGGCCATGTAATTCAGGAAGTGTGGGCCGCCTCTTAAGGATAATAATAGTATAAGAGGGGAAAGGAGGGAAGGAAAAAGTAGGCTGGAATTCAGTGGGGATTAGGCTTGGGAGAGGAGACTGCTCGAAGCGTCTCTTTTCAGTTTTCAACAATTTCAATCCTAATGCACACCAATTTACCGTAAGATTTTAGAGTCTCTTTCATTATATCTGTATAAGATAAACAGTTCATTTTCATTTACCCCAGTGCCGCAAAGGCTCCCACCTACGGTGGGGTAAGGGGGGTCGGATGTATGCAGTCTTACCCCTATACTAAAGCACAGAGAGACTGTTTCCGGATGACCCATAGTGAAAATCGCGTCCAAAATTGCATGGACTGACCGCTACTTCATAACAAAGAAGCGCAGACAGTTTAGTGAGTCATTTTGCTTTATTCCATCATAATCTCAAGCCAAAAAATAATGAATCTTTGGCTCCATTGCAAATGATGGAAAAGTATAAGATAAACAGTTAAAAACTTCAAATAATTATCAGTTGAGGAACGTACCTTGCAGATTCATTATAAAGCGCGAATGGAGTAACACAACCAAGGGGTACCTTTGTAATAGAATATGAGAGAGAAATGATGAGGCGTAAAGAGAAATTATTTTCATAATTCAAGCTTACGATATTTCACATATCTTCAAACAACACTACAAAAAGCTAAATGACAATATGTTAACATAAAGCATATAAACAATATAAAGGTAACTCTCATCTTGAACATATTTAAAAACCACAGCCTCTGGAGTCTGAACTATATTTGGAAATGATAAACATTGGCAAATAAGAGGAATGATTGTTTTCACATTCTAGGTCCAATCAAAGTTAATAAGAGATTCCATATCTTGCTTCCGTTAATTGATGTCATCTGCCATATAAGGCTATAAGCCATTGCTTAGCTTTGAGTATGAACTTCAAGGTGCAGAACATGTCTAAGGACTACCAACTTGCTAGTTGTTAATGAAAAATATTAAATACGTAGTATGTTAAATACCTGTAGTGAATGACTTACCATTTGATTCGAAATTAAAAATATGGTTTTTTTTATATCGGCTACCCCAAAAAATTTGGGATTAAGGCTTGAATGCTGTTGTTGTTTATAAAATTTCAGCTCGAAGTCCGGAAAGAGATTCTCAAGATCTTAATAAAAAATCGCAGAACAACTTTTGAAATGACAACACTAGAAGAAAATCAGCAGGAAATCACTTTCATAAAATTGAATACTGACAAAAGAAAGGAAAACGTGTATGAGATGAATACCAAGATAAACTAACGACATCTCATACCAAGATTATTTGAATGACCCAAACAGTGTATCATCTAGAGAATGTACAGCACTAATTTAGTGTGGCCAAACGGGTCAACCCGACCCATGGCTGATTATTTGTTTCACGGAGAGGGGTAGGCCAACTCACTTAATGGTGGACTACAGTTTATAAGCATCTAACCTAACCCACCTATGGTCACGAGTCTAATGAGCCAACAAATATGTCAAGACATAACTTTCATATAATGAAATGCTTAAAAAATCATACTTCATCTGTCAACACAGTTTCATTTTATTTACTTATTTAGCATATCAGTTATTTATTACTCCCTTCGTCCCTTAAAACTTTGTCATCTTTCCTTTTTAGGACGTCCCAAAAAACTTTGTCACTTTCCCTTTTAATCAATTATTGTGTGGTTCCTGTTGTTTCTCTCTCCTCTACACAAACCTCAACCACATAGTTTTTACTTTATTATTCTTCGTGCCGGTCAAACTTGGCAAATTTTAAGGGACAGAGGTAGTATATTTTAAATTGGATTTTGTGACTTTATAAAACTTTCAATGTAGTTTCTGAATATCCATGTTTTAAATATTCAACTGATTTAACTATATGAAGCGATGATTTTTAACTTTATCGTGAGTCAACCGTAAAATCGAAAATTGAAATTCAATTTGGGACAGAGGAAGTATATCCAAGGTTTTGAAAGGCGAAAACGGGCCTCGAGGCGTATATCTTATTCAAAAACCAAAATCACTACATTATATACAACTTCATAAACATATGTACAATCTTTATTTTAATGGAAAAAACTCATAAACTTAACTTTGCAAATTATAATTACTATTGACTACTACTTGAGGAATGAGACAATCGAGCACAAGGTGGGAGTACCACCTATTGAAAATAAGATTGCGGTGATTTGGTCATGTGCATAGGAGATCGGGTGATGTGCCTGCTAGATGAGTTGAGAGTGGGAGAAGAGACAGGAGGAGAGGGAGGGAGAGAAACACTTAAGCAGACGTGAATTAAAGTGGTCAGGAATGATATGGTACATCTTGGGTTGGATGAGAGTATGACTTTGGAGAGAGGAAGTGCAAGAAAAATATGCGGGTGGAAGATTGATATCATTTTATCTTTTTTAGCTCCGTTTAATATGAGTCATATGACTAAGGCTTGGATGTTGTTGGTGTAGTATTTACTACTTTCTAAATATGCTTCAGCCCGTGTGCTGGCCTGCAGTCCACGTGGCTAACTTACAACCCAAGTGAGTCACTCCGCAAAGCCCGTGGAAAACAGAGCCTGAAAATTTAAACTACATCCGCTCTAAAACAGGCTTAAGGCGAGCCTAAACACGTTTTGATACTCCGTTATAAATGAGAAAATGATATAGTACAGTTAAAAGCAATTTGGTACCTGAAGTATCCCTGTCAGTGAATCTTCTGGGGCCATCCTCAAACCTCCTTTTCCCAATCCGAGCCTCTGAGCTAGAACTGCTCAGTATCAATACCAACATATGACTTCCATTTAAAAGTTAAAACTAAACTTTCCAGAGTCCAGTTTGTAAATACTACTCCCTTCGTCCCTTACAACTTTGACAAGTTTGATCGGCACGGGGATTAATAAAGTAAAAACTGTGTAATTGAGGTTTGTGCAGAGGAGAGAGAATTAACTGGAACCACAAATACTTTACTTAAGGGAAAGTGACAAAGTTAGTGGGACATCCAAAAAAGGAAAGTTGACAAAGTTTAAAGAGACGGAGGGAGTACAAAGGAGTCCAACTCATTACATTGTAAGCTTACAAAAAGCATCAGAAGTAAACACATACTTTTCAAGTCTATTCTGGTGTCTGCCAATGCAGAAACAATATAAAATCTATGCTTCTTATCCTGCACGAGAAAAAGAACAAATAATTCAACAATGAAGTACGGTATATCCGACCAGTAAAACTAGCAATGCTGACATCACCTTCAAGAACAGATTTTTACTCAGTGCACCATTCAAATGTCCAACATATTTTTCCTGATTCCATAGATAAAAACAGACAAATAACCAACTAATGTTCATCTCACATAGAAGCATTAACAATTGAAGTGGAAGATGGGATTCTGAAATATGCCGTAAACTTACCTGAGCTTCAACAGTCAATACAACAGGGTGCTCATATTGTTCAAAATCAATTTGGAGATCCTGATGTCACAAAAAAAAGATGGCAATCACTAAATCAGAGAAACAACCAATTTACTAACCTCAAAATCTACTTCAAACCTTTAAATAGGTTATCAGTTGCTCCTTTGAGCAGCCCATGAGTGGAAAATCTTGAAAGTTTTTAAGGGAACCGGAGTGATAAGATGAATTGAGTTTCACCACTTATATATATGACATAAAACAAAAATAAACCAGGAAGTTTCGTAGAGGATGATTGGGTTTTGCGGGTTTGTATTTTTGCAGTTTCTAGGTTTGACCCATTTGGGTCATGCAGATGCGATTGCACAGACGTGGTTTCACCCCTTTAGGTCGGACCATTTTAGCTTTTTGAAAATGTTACTCCTTCCCTTTAGTGTCGTTGTTCTACTTTATCTTTTCCGTCTCTGTCACTCAAATTGTTTTATGCTCTACAACTACAACTACAACAAAAACTCTAAAGATACGCAAATAGATACAAATAGATACATGCCATAAATGTCATCCCCAATCATGCTATGGGCATAGCCAGTAGTAATAGCAAAAGGAATTGGTGATAAAGTAAATGCATGAAATATTGTCATCCTTGGATAGAGTTGATTTTTGTATAGGTTTGTGTTCATACGATTACTTCTGATTATTTTTGGAATTAGTGTTTCTCAAATTCAAACTTTTACTTCACACAAATTAAGAAAATAAATTTGATTTTATAATAGAGTACACTGTTATGACACTGTTTGGCATTGTTTTGCACTGTTTTGATGTAGATAATTTGTCAAATAAGAAAGGGAGAAGAAGTGTGAAGTTTATTTTGGACCTACCCAAAAAAGGAAAGTGTGAATTTCATTTGGGACCGGAGGTAGTACCAAATTTGATAAAGTTTGTGTGACTCTAAATCATTCTTACTTTATTCTTACTTTATCAATTCAATATCAACCATAGAAACAACTTTTTATTGGTTTGTGTGTCACTCACTCTTGTTCCATTGTTTATGGGACGGAGGGGGTATTTGATAAATAGTTGTTCGATCCTAGTATTTTTAATGGAGTCACTGAAATAAAAGTACTTCGAATAAGAGAGATTTGGGTTAGCATTTTGAAATATGACGTTTTCTACTAATTATTGTGGTCAAACCGCTAAATTACCAAACATTTTATAGCAATCCGTCAACCCGCTGACCGAATGCGTTATTTACGATTGCTAACATAATCTGTTATCCGTTATCCACTAATCACTGACCGCTATATGTCAAACACGCCCAATATAAACAATATTGGTTAGTACTTGGTTGTGACAAAATTGTAAAGAGTAAATTGCTCAAACCAAAATTAAAACATACTCCCTTCGTCCCGCAATGAACTTCTCACTTTCCTTTTTTAGATGTTCCAAAAACAAGTTCACATTTCCTTAAATGGCAAGTTAATCTACATCATAATAGTGTCAAACAGTGCAAAACAGTGCCAAACAATATCGAAATAGTGCAAAACAGTGCCAAACAGTGTCGAAACAATGTCAAAACAGGAAAATTTACCTCATGATAAGTTTATTTCCTTAATATGTGTGTAGGTCAAACTGTGAAGTTCATTGTGGGACGGAGGGAGTATAGACCAATCATTTCATTTCTACCCCCAAATTAATTAATTAATTACCCTATTCAATTGCCCCCTGAGTTCCTTTGCATAACCAATCTCTAGGGGTGAGACTTTGGAACTAAGAACCAGATAGCCGTTGGAACCAACCCGTTAAAACCCGGTTCGATTCCTACACATGAGAGTTATAAATTGTTAACGGTTCGGTTCTTATTCTTTATTAACAATTCGACTCCCGACCTACAAAAAATATGTCTAAGGAACTGTTATTAAAAAACTAAAAAATGAAAGTATAACTAGTAATAAAAATAATAATAATAATAATAATAACATTGACAATAAAAATAATAATAATAACAACAACAACAATAATAATAATAATAATAGTAATAATAACAATATACTCAATGATATTTAGTCATAGAGCAATTTAAATTTAATTGATAGAAATGGATGAGGATGAACACATTAAGCTCGTGTTTTGCAAATCATGTTTTGTTCCATCACGAAAATTTTATAATTATAGAGGTAACCCAAATAAATTTGTGTTGGTTTGATACGTTTTTTCTTTACAATATTGGAGATGATTGTAATTGTGAGATTTATTGTAAATAATGCTCCTAGAATTTGAAATATAATGATGTTTACATATTTGAACATGCATAGTTAATATGTTTTTTATGTCTTGAGAAACTTGAGTTCGACGTCTTATTCTACTACGATGATCAAACTTTTATTGATATCAGATAATAACGATTTTCATATTTTATTTATAAACAAAATTAAAAAATTATTTCATTCTATTAAGGGTTAAATAAATTAAGTTTAGAATTGATGTTTGAAGTGATAAGAGCTTTAAAAAGTACTTACTCATTGTGTTTTAAATGTTCGTCAATTTTGCATCGTAGAAAGTAAGTTGTGTCAAAAAAATAGAAAAAAAAATACTTGTAGAAACCGATAAAGGTAAGAACCTAAATGTTTACTATTGGTTCGGTTTCATGCTGGTTGTTGAATATTTAGATAGGAATCAAATCGATTTGATTAGTAGTGTTTTTTGATATGGTTCCACTAATTTTGTATAAGAACCGAACCGGTCCCAGGCCTGCCGATGTCAGTCTCTTGGTGGCGGGCCGGTCCATGGCAATGGTAGTAAACTTCAGCGGCGGCGTAGAACTTTGACGATGGCTAAAATTTGCCAGATCAACAGAGGAAATCATAAATACAAATTACGGGTAGGCCAAAGTACAAGATCAAATATATCTAATGAAGAAAGAAGAACTATAGTTGATCTTCTTCTTCAAAGTCTTTTGAAAGGCAAACTGGTTAGATGCGTCATTATACGGAAATCGCCCCACAATTCTAGGTTACTCGAACGGTCATATCAAATATATGGAAAATGGCCAAGGCACACCAAAATGCTGGACTTCTCATCAATTTAGATACCAGAATGAAGGGCAACATTGTGAAGGAACACCTGGTCATTGACATGTCAAAATGATGGATATTGATCTGAGTTGCAAAAGGGGTCTTAGATCACTTCATGCATCTTTGAAATATCCACAATCAAGTGGGCATAGACTCAAACAAAAAGCCCAATCGATCCCATACATCAATTATCAAGCCTCATCTTACATATTTTAATAAAAACACAAATGCTAAAATTGATCATTTTTAACATTGAAGACCACACAACAACAAATGCATTGGAACATAAAGACATATATAACTTGGTACATGTTGATGTGGATGAGAAATGATTATTTATGACATAATCAGTCAAAAGGTACATGATGACAAATAATAATTATAATAAGCCAGTTTCTAACATAGGCTCTCGTTGGGATTTGCTAACGTAGCCTAGGCGGACGCTTATTTGTACGATGGTATCGATGGAAGAAACTCATGTGCAGAGAGAGACTGAAGTGTTGGCTCATGCATGTGATATGATGGAGATGGAAGAAGATGATGAAATAGTAATGTTGAAAGCTATGGATTCGGGAGAAACATGTGCGATTTTTCGCTCGTAGGAACCATTACATCAGAACAATCGGCACGTTTTTCTACTTTTCATGATACTATGGTGGGTGGGTGAAAACCTGTCAAGGGTGTTGCCATAATTGATCTAGGGGCTAGACGATATATGTTTCAATTTTATAATGGGAGTGATATGATTAGAGTTTTTGAGGAAGTGTTTGAGCGTTCCCAGATCAACAGTCGAATAAATCTAAATAATAATAGAAAGAATTTAAACAGTAGAAGAATAATTCATCAACATTCAATACTGTATATATATTCATAATAATGTGGCAATAATGTGTATACACGGATGAACTGTTGAGAGAGAATTATCTATCTAAGTGCTCTACGAGAATAATATGTGCGGAACATAATGTGTAGAGACTTAGGATGTTTGAACCATCTCCGCCTATATTTATAGGGAGATAATCGAGCATCCTATATATTACAGTTAGAATATATCATATGGGTGTGCGTGTGGGCTTAGTAGAGGTATTAAAAAGCCTGATTTTCTCTCAACTAATCCTGCTAATACTAAGGCTCTTTAAATAAAAGACAATTGCAATTAATTTGAACACAATTGAATAATTTTCTAATAATCTCTCCTTTTGTGTTCAAATCGCAATGAAGCACGGATTATCTCTGAGTCTTGTATAGCGATTTCCTGTAGCCAAGTATGACTTCATAATGTCGAAGAGTTCTTCTAAAATCGAGACGAATACTTATGGCTTCTGCAAATCACCTATCAGTGTAATCTGAATCGCATCGTCTGGATTCTCTGAGTTCTCCAGCTTCAGTGCACATTCTTCCAGATATTCTTCTATGATGTGTGGCGTTCCATCACAATATTTATGTATTTCTTCCATGAGCGGGATATGCTTTACACTCTTGTAATCTTTGTATATGATACCAGTCTCTGGATATGTAGTGATTTCACCTTCTTCGAAGTTTTCAATCCAGGGCGCTTTATTCCTCGGAGCTGTAAGATTGACCTTGCTTAGGTTGCTCTCAATCACCATTTGTAGATCTACCAATGAGTAGTAATTGATCTGTCTTAGCATGAACCTCTTGATGGTGTTGAGTCCTAGTTCTCTGCCTTTCAATGGTACGTCACTCAATCTTACATTTCGATATTCAAAGAGCAGTTGTATCAGATCTTTTGGAACGACATATGGGAAATCAGCTTCTGATACTCTTTGAATCACTCTGTTATGTCTTTCAAACTCAATTATCGGATATTTCACGGAGCCATAGTGATGGATTTCTGCTGAGTTGATTCCAATGATCAGTGAATCAGAATGCTTTTTCAATCTTTCACGATGTCCATAAGGATCATTTTGATCTGCAAACATGTTTATCAGCATCCATATGTGTCCGGAAGCAGCAATTCTTTCTAAATGATATAATCCTCGGAGTTCAAGTTCATCAATCTTCTCTATGTTCTTCTGACTTCTCCATATCATGGGTCTCATATCTTCTTGAAATGGTACAACAATGGTGACGTTCTCCCGATGTGTCTCGAACTTGTCTTATATTCTTGATTCCTTGGGACGTCTTTTGATCAGATTTTTGACTTGTTGCAGATCACGAAGTGGATCGTCATAGAATTCACCTTTTACTATTTCTTCTGGTTCTAGCTTCATGAGCTCTACATCAACTTTCTTCGTTAACTCTCTGATGTAATTCAGCTTGGTAAGAGCTTCCTCGTTGCTTATTCCCTGAAGATTGTCTTTTTCGTTTCTTTCAACCCATTCTAGTAACAACAGATCTGCATTAGATGGTACTTTTACTTTTTTAGATGATGCTTTCTCTTTCCTCT